GTGTTCAGACTGAGGCTACTTGCAAAGCCAGGGGAAAAATATGTTTGTAATTTGCTCCTGCAAATTACAGGGGGTCCATCAGTGTCTTCACATTAGCCAGATAATGTGAGCCAAATAAACAACTGCAGGGCAAGCTTGCTGATAAACCCATCTTGGAGAAACCTTGCCTAACTTGATTTAGAATAAGGGAGTGGTATGTATATTGAATATTTCCATAGAAACCTCTGGCAGTACTTTGAAACTTAGAATGAATTTAGACAAAGGGCTTATTTTTCTCACAGAAGTAAAAAGACAAACACTCTGTTTAGTTTAGTTTAATGAAATTTGTATGCCGCCCACTCCCATTGGGACTCTGGGCAGCTCACAGGCAAGATAAAGGCATTTTAAAATATTTAAAAATAAGAAATACAATATTAAAATTAACACAACATCCATTCTGTCCAAGAGGGGCTNCTCCCGGAGAAGGGCGGCATACAAATAAACTAAATCTTAAATCTTAACCCAACCCAACCTACAGTGTAGCCCCAGACCGAAGGATGGCTCAACTAAGGCCTTACCAACTTTCACAAGCTGAACCGCGGATCTGTTGCTACCCCGCTCAGTGCAAGCCGTGACCGAGAGGTTATAGATGTCCCCGGCAGGAAGGCTGAGCATGGTGGTCATGACATTCCGGCTCACCTGAAACAGACAAAGACTGTTAAAAACTCCTTGCAGGGAAGATCAGCTTTGAACAGTGACCAGGGATTAGTGGGCTAATTGGACTTTTGTCTCAGCCTCTTTAGAGGATTTGGAATCAGTCTTCAGAGAAGGACAACTGGGCAGCTCTCAAGAAGGCTGGTCTTGTAAGTGAAGCCCAACCAGCTGGGAATGACTGAGGGGAGAGATAAATACGCAGAATGCAGCCATAAAGAGCTTTGGACATAGTCTCCATCCTTTCAGAAGCTGCTACTTTAATGTGATGGAAGAGGAATGCTATTTAAATACTTAGGGAGTGATTTTATTAATTGCACTAAATTAATTCCAATCTGAGAGGTCTTCACCAGGGGTGGGCTGCTGGGGGTTTGCACGGGTTCGGGCAATCCTCTAGCTAAGATTCTGCCCAGTTCGGCGACCCCCCAAATGCCACCCTGGCTGGCCACGCCCACCCCACCCCTCCCAGGAGTCTCCATGCGGCCCATTCACCATGCCAGGGCCTGCATGGAGGCTCAGGGAGGGAGGAAAGCGAGCCTACCAGAGGTTCCGGAAGTCCAGAAATGGGCCTGTTTCCGGCCTCCAGAGGGCTTCCAGAGCATGAGGGAAGCAGTTTTCACTTTCCCGGAGGTCCGAGGAAAGCTTCCGGAGTCTAGGGAGGATGAAAAACACCCTACACCATGGTGCAGGAGGCCAACTAAGCCACATCCCCCATGGCCACGCAGTAATGGGGCAGTGAACCCATTGCTGCAATTTTTGAAGCCCACCCCTGGTCCTCTCTGAGTACTAGCACTGATGATGTTACATAGTTAGGGTAGTGAAATGTCTGAAAGAAAACAAGCAAGTTTAGAGAGCACCAAGGACCCCTCATTTCAACCCTGAGCTACAATTATTCTCCCTTATTGGTAATTTCAAACTTATCTGAATTGTGCTTAATCATGGATGCCACACAATGAGGGAGTGGCCATATAAATTGATTAAGTAGATATATTTTAAGATTTATCATGATTTATCTATCATGGGGTATAGCTAGCGCTCAGGATTGGGGAATTAATCCATCCTGAAAGAGAGGATTAGATTAGGAACCTATCAGGCCATGTCCATCTCTATGAACTTGGAAGAATTAAGAAAATCTATGCTGGATCAGCAGACCTCAAAGCCAACTAGTCCACACAGGTAGTCCTCAAAATATGACCACAATTCCTTCCAAAATTTCTGTTGTTAAGTGAGATGGCTGCTAAGTGAATTATGCCCATTTTGCAACCCTTCTTGCCATTGTGGTTAAGTGAATCACTGCAGTTGCAAAGTTAGTAACATGGTTGTTACGTCAATCTGACTTCCCCATTGACTTTGCTTGGCAGAAGGCCACAAAAGGGGATCAAATGATCTCGGTATCGTGGAACCGTCATAAATGGTCTATGAGTCAGTGGTCGAACATCTGGATTTTGATCATGTGACCATGGAGATGCTGCAGTGGCCATGTTGAAAAAAGTCATTTTTTTTCCAGTTGTAACTTTGAACAGTGACTAAATGAACTCTTGTAAGCCATAGACTACTTACAATATACAATAGCAAAGTTGGAAGGGACCTTGGAGGTCTTCTAGTCCAACCTCCTGCCTAGGTAGGAAACCCTATAAAAGCGATGGTGAACCTTTTTTGGCTAACGTGCCATAAGTGGGGGGAGCGCAGGGGGGTCGTGTGCGGGCGTGCTGCACTCATAATGCAATGTGTGACCCGCCCAGTGCGCATGCGCGCACTACAGGCACTCTTCCCCATTTCTTTCATGCTTTTTTCGCCCTCCCCAGGCTCCAGAGGCTTTATAGGAGCCTGGGGAGAATGTAAACAGCTTTCCCCCACCCAGACACCCTCCGGAGGCTTCAGGGACCTTCAGGAGGCTTCCCTGAAGCTTTCGGAACAGTCAAAACAACCCTCTGAGCATATCGGAAGTCCGTTCCTGAACTTCTGGTTTGCCCGTAGGGCTGGGTTTTTTGCGCTCCGAAGGCTTCACGGAAGCTCATGAAACCTCCGGAGGGGGCGGGGGAGGCTCTTTTCGTCCTCCCTAGGCTCCTATAAAGCCTCTGGAGCCTGGGGAGGGCAAAAAATGGCTTTAAAAAAGGGTGAACTTAGCTGGCCAGCGAGCCTCGCGTGACCTGACAAATGGCTCAACATGCCACCTGTGGCACGCGTGCCATAGATTCTCCATCACTGCCCTATACCGTTTCAGACAAATGGCTATCCAACATCTTCTTAAAGACTTCCAATGTTGGGGCATTCACAACTTCTGGAGGCAATTTCTGTTCCACTGGTTAATTGTTCTAACTGTCAGGAAATTTCTCCCTAATTCTAAGTTGCTTATCCCCTTGATCAATACAATACAGTACAATTACAATTACAATTACAATTACAATTACAATTACAATTACAATTACAAT